AGGGTGAGTGAACCAAATAGCAAGCGCTATGCAGTGCAAGTATGGAACAATTGCTTATTTCCCCCCCTAAATTCACTCATACACTGATGGAGTCTGAACTGACAGCTGATGACTAACCAGAAAAGGGATTCTGAGGTCATAATGATCAGGCATGCCTAGCCTATTTGCGCACACTTGGAATATTGAGAACGTATTACCGCAACTCTCTCGCACAATGATTAATGACACCTGCTGTGACAATCACAAAACATCCACACAGAGAAAAAACAAACAAACCAAAAACAAAGCACTGTGCTGCAGCCTGCTAGTTAAATTTCTAAGAAAGGCTCTAGGATCTATTTGTGTCATACAGGCCTTACTGGAAATGCAGATTATACCTGAGGCTGCATTTTGCTCTGGGGCATGCGAGGTTCCAATGCATTATTTTAATAAAATAAAAGAACAAATTAGGGAGGACAGGGAGTTTGATGGGTCAGCAGGCACATTGATTGCCTTGCTGGACCACTATCATGCATTCATCGATAAACATTCAGAAGAAAGAGACCAGGTGAGGGAAAATTCCATGTTAAGAATTAGTAGGAAAGCAAAGATAAATATTATAATCCTTTAGCAAAGCTGTGATGCAGACAAATTGGAATATTAAGTGTAATTATTAAGAGTATTGTTTTGGTTATCACATCTCAAAAAAGGGCAACTGAACCAATCAGGGAGCTTGATCAGTGCCTTCATAAGGAAGAGTTACAGTATTGCCGGCTTTCTGGTTTTAAAAAAAGGAAGGGACACATAAGTCACCCAGTGAAGCTGAATGGTAAGACATTCTGAATAGATAAAAGAGAGTACTTTTGGGAAACCCTGTGACTTCACTGTGATTTATTATAGTTAATGACCACCAACTGAGATAGTTCTAAAAGACTATAAATTACTAGTAGTCATGGTGGTTATCTGATCTGGGGAGTAGTAGCGGCCATAAGAGTGGGGAGTAAAGGCTGAAGAAATATCTAGCAGGCACTGAGATTTTCACTTCAAGATAGATTGAGCTTTTCTTCCTGAAAAAAATAATCTGTACTGGAACATTTCTATGACTGGGCTTGCACAATGTGTTGAATCACAAACTGGAGAACCCAGAAGACTGATTTTTCCCCCCATAAACTATGTTTAATGTAACTGTGAGTATGTCATGCAAGCATAGCTTATTTATCACAAGTTCACTCAGGAGAAAGGATTTGACCTACTCTCATCTATATTATGTACAGTATCTGCCAATGTTTTAGTACTGAAATGTTTCTAAATAATTGCCTTTCTGACAACTAATAAAACATACATTAAAAAATATTAATTTAGCACCAAGTCTACTGAAGTAATTGTAGTGGGGAAAGTGACAATCATCATACTTTTTTCCTGGCACTGGCCTACAATGTAATTCCCAGTTATTTTCATTAAAGCAGTGTTTCTCAACTGTGGCAGTTTTAAGATGGGTGGACTTCAATTTCCAGAATTCCAGAAATCCCAGAATTCTGGGAGTTGAAGTCCACCCATCTTAAAGTTGCCATGGTTGAGAAACACTACAGTAAAGCTAGAGCAAGTCTTACTGAATGGGAAGGGTAGGCGGGGGCAAAATGTGTATTTCAGTGTGACTTAATTTGATTTAATTTAATCCTAATCCTAAATCAATTTATTGTACATTTCACTCCAGTCCTAACTCAGATTTAATAGCCAGGATGATTTAATAGCCAGGATGATTATCTAGTAGATACCTTCAAGATTTGTACCAGCATCTCCCACTCATTTAAATATTTAACACCAACATAACCAATGGAAGGCAAGCTTGACACTTTGTTCACACTTCTGTGCAGAAATTAATGGAGGGTTGCAGAATACAAGAAAAAAAACAGGACAATCAGACTAAGAAAAGAGATGGAAAGGGCAACAGCAAAAAGGAAATAAAATTCATTATCCCTCAAAGAACACAGATTCTACTGGAAAAGACATTGCAGAAAGAATTAAAATTGCTAGTAGCACCTCTACAGGACTGACTACATGACACATCAAGCTCTCTGGCCCTTAATAATATAACTCTCATCCTGGAGCACAGAGTTTAAAAGTGATGGAGGATGATCCAACTGCACAAAGATGTCATGGACGTTAAGCTCTTGAAATTGACGTTCTAAACTCACTTTGAGGATATCATTAATTACATTTTGGAATTTGGTACCACAAGATGTGGCGCTGGCTATTGGCTCGGCTGGCTTTAAAAAAGGGTTGGACCAATTCATGGAAGTCATATATAACAAATAATTTAATTTTTTTTGCAGTTGTTTATCAATGCCACATTCAGCTTTAGATGTAAAATTTAAGCAACCTTATGCTTATCAACATTAACATTTTAGAAATTATAGTTAATACTGACATCAACTTTTTCTTTATCCTTAAAGGTTTAAGTTATCTAAACATCAGAGTGTTAATAATCTCCAATCAACACTGTATAAATATCACTGTGCCCAAATAATATAATGTACTATTTGTGTTGTATAATAAAACAATTTAAAAAGGAAAAAAAAAAGAAGCCTTTCAGTAGTATCACCTGTGCCTCTTGTCAT